CACCATGTGGTGTTCACACATACTCCTGGCTCCTGCATCCCCGAAGAGCCGGAGATCCGAAGGATTGTCCACCCCGTCAAAAAAATAATACTGTGATAAGTCCTCCCGCGCCAATTTTATAGTTTTTAATAACATATTTTCAGATTTTAAAATCCTTTTTTTTATATTTGCAATAAATTGTACCTACCTATCTATCTGTATTAATTTAATAAAGTTCACATCCACTCCTTCATATTTTAAAATCAAATTTGATATCATCAGCGTAGCTTAGTTTGTAAATGCAAAAATTCTCAACCGAATACCTAATTCCAGTGCTGCTGATTTCTAATGTGTCAATTATTGGATCCCTAATGTGCCAATAGACTCAACAGCTAGAGAGACATCAACCGTTCCTGTCTTATCCTACAATCCCACCTATAAGTGTCTGTTGGCACACCTGCTGCTGTTTATCTGATTTGCAAATATAACAACCTGGGCCTCAATTCTGCTATTTTATGTTTACGCCAAGCCAGTGTCATACCACTGACACGCTATTGAGATGCCATCGGCATCGGTATAAATATCAGTAGTTGAAAATATATTACGTTTTTTGAGGAAATGATATTTTTATTTTTTTATTTTAGATAATAATTTATTTAATTTATTTTAATAATTTATTATAATAAAAAAATAAAAAATCTTTTCCTCAAAAAACGTAATATATTTTCAACTACCGATATTTATACCGATGCCAATGGCCACTCGATGGCATCTCAATAGCGTGTCAGTGGTCTGACAGTGGCTTGGCGTAAACATAAAATAGCAGAATTGAGGCCCAGTACCTGTGTATGGACGCCAGGTTTCTTGATCTTCAGCTAAAATACATCCTAAGAAACCACGTTAATAGCTATTGACACGTCAATGAAGCATACATACTCGTACATAAATATGCTTGTGATATCAAGACGTAGTATTGTACTCATAGCTTCTCTTTTCCAGTTCGGAAACCGCATTTAGATTCATGAATATTTGAGTATTCTGGTAACAAATTGACCAATAGGTCACATATTTAAATTTAATAGTCGGAACAACGTATGGTAGACATAAGATCAAAAGGCGGGTAGGAATGATAAAGAAAGAAAGAAAGAAAGAAAGAAAAATACTTTAATTGGCACATTTTACAGGACTGTTACATATTTACAACAGAGACATGTATAAAATACATCTGTACCAATATGGACCACGACTCAGCATAATGCTAGGCGCAATGCACCTAGCGCTGGTTTTCAGCGCAGCCCAAAAAACATAACGTGTTCAATGCTGAGCCCGTCGTTACCCGGCTACTTATGATTTTGTTAAATTCTTTAGCTGATACTTAAAATAACGAATTAAATGTTTTATACAGCCCTTATCGTCTGTATATTATATCATCATCATTGTCTCAGCCAAAAGACGTCCATTGCTGGAAGTACGCCTTCCCTAAGGTTCACCACAATAGCCGGTCCCGTGCTGCCCTCATTGAACGGCTTCCCTCAACCTTCACCAGGTTGTTTGACCACCTTGCGGCCTACCAACGCAAACTATAAGATATGAAACAATTACTCTCATCATTGAAGAAAGAAAGAAAAAGAAACTGGGACCAATTACTGAAGTAATTTTAAACAATTACTTACTTAAAAATGAATTGATAAAGTTTACTATTAAAATATCAATTTAATACAATGTTGTTAAAACGCAGACGAAGTTGCGCGGGTCAGCTAGTGCCAGATAAAGCTAACTTAGTTGTGTAGGCCGATCCGAAGCTACGCGAACTAAGCTAAGTACCGTCCCTTTACGTCCCCAAATAAACTGATCATCACTAACGTAGTTTTAGCTTATTTGATCGGTGGACAGACAACTTATTGTCAAGTTTAGCTTAGCTTAGTTCACTGAATTTAGTTCTTAATTAGTTTAGCTGGTATATATATCTATGACGTTAAACTAAACACTTATACAAGTACCAAAATATGTTTTTCTTTAAATACACATACGTTTACAGAAACAGCCAATAAATTAACTACGATACCCGCTTTTTGAAACTTAATGTGTTTATAAATATTTCAAACCAAAAATTTTTCTTTGCCACCACGTCTTTTCGTATATAAAGAACTTGATAAAGCCAGCACCGCTAAATAATAATATAAAAAAGGTTGTTTGATGTACTAAACATTAGATACGTTCAAGGACACCTTAGAAAAAGGCAATGCCACCAGCTGTGTCCCAAGACGGGCACAACATAAATAAAAAAGAATAAATCATGTCATACATACGTACATACATACATTCACGTCTTTAATCCCTGAAAAGGGAGAAAGAACCATATTAACGCCAATATTTTGATAACTGTGATATTAGAAGCACTTAAGTTAGGGTCAAACCTATTTTTGACAATAGGGCACATATTTCTTAACATACTTTTTTATTTTTAACACATGCATATTATAGATAAATTAAACCCAAACACAGAACTCCCAGACTGATCAAACAATATTTTCAGAAGCGTACAATCCATTCCTATCCATATCTTCGCATAGCCATTCAGAACGTTTTCGACCTCCTGTACTTTATACATACTAAACTTATCATTCTGCATACCTATATTATCCAAGTGGTGACGGATTAGGAACACGTATTCCTAATCCGTCACCACTTGTGCCACCACTACGTAGTGCCACCAATCTTATTCATCCCGTGGGTGGCGTAAGAGCCGACTAAGGGAGCAAATAACGCAGGATAAATGTAACAGCAAAGAGAAGGAAAGATTGAACCAAAACCGTCTGACCAACGTGGTGTTGAAGGCCAAAACCAGCAACAAGCAAGGGCTTATATCCAGCAGTGGACTATTAAAGGCTGTTGATGTGATGACGTGACGATATATACATATTTACAGTCACGTATTTATGACAGAGGCGTACTTATTAAACGCAGACATTTTGTTGATGATAATTTTGGTCGCATTAACGTTATGTCTAGAAAGTCTATCAAGCCTACAAGTTTAAATTTTCTGCAGTAGTTGTATATCTATACTAATATTATAAAGCTGAAGAGTTTGTTTGTTTGTTTGTTTGAACGCGCTAATCTCAGGAACTACTGGTCCGATTCGAAAAATTCTTTCAGTTTTAGATAGCCCATTTATCGAGGAAGGCTATAGGCTATATATCATCATGCTAAGACCAATAGGAGCGGAGCACCAATGAAGAATGTTTCAAAAACGGAGAAAATTTATTACTATTGAGAGACGCAGACGAAGTTGCGCGGGTCAGCTAGTTTGGTAATATAACAAAAGATACTCCTAAACTGCATTAGATTTATGCCCGTTGCTTATGTGAAAAGCTGTTGTAAATTAAAGTATCTGAATTTTGATTTTAATATCTCATAAATTTGGCGCTAAAAGAACAACGATAAACTTTTATCTGTTATGTGCTTTCATGGGCTTTGACAAATCAGTCATTTTGTACACGTTACTTTTAGGATGAGAAAATACGTTAAAGATAGGCACTATATGAAAAAATATTTATTTCCCACCGACCATCACTATTACTGTACAATAAAAAACAAACTACCCACATAAAGAATTGAAATCAAGAAATATAATTAAACTTTAATATAAAGATATTTGCTCACATTATATCATAAGAAAATTATCGTTAAATAAATCGTTATCGTAATTAAAAGATTCAACAGCATACAGGCGTCTAAAACTGTGTAAAAGTATATCTCGAAATACCGATAGTTTATACAAAAATGAAGATCAATTGCGGGTAGTAACAAAAACTCGCAAGACAATGGTGGAGTGGCGTCGCCACTGAATACTTCTATAAATGTTGGCGCTCGTTGAGCTTGCATCAGTCTATTTGAGCCCGCCATTTCAGCTGCACTTCGATCATACTGCTCAACCACTGACAAATAAGAAGGTACTGTCCTTTATTAATATTATTATAGTGTTTAAATCTTAGTCATTTTAGTTTAGCAGTAAAAGTTTATTTATTAATTTATGTACGTTTTTATTGCTTTTTTCTTTTTGTGATATTGTGGGTACCAGTAGAGAGTGACCACTTTTTACATTTATTTTTTTATAAAAGTATCCATTTTTTGAATCAGTGCGTGTACATCTTTGTAAATTGTAAAAAACTTCATTTCCTAATTATTCACCCTTAAGTGAGATTTAAAGTTCATTTCGACCAAATGGGAAGTATACCCTCTGAAAATATGACAGATTTTAAAAGCTCCTTTTTTGAAGTCGTTTAAAAATATACCTGCTGGTAGATATAATCACAGCTCCGTCTCTTTGCGGTTAGAGTTATAGTTCTGCCTGGACGATGTTTTGCCACTTTGTCGATCACTGCCTTCTAACGAAGTGACCTTTATTTATTTCGTTTCGTCTTTTCTTTCGACTGTTTATGTCCGTTACTAGTCAAGGTTACTGTTTAGGGTTGATTACAGATATTTCTATTTTAACAAACTGGGATACTGGTTATGCTGATAAAACTGTAAACCTACCTCAATTGTATTAAAAAAAAAGTTGCAAGATATTTCATTTTTTAACGGTTTTCTTTCCTACCTTCAGATTGTTATATGAATTCATTTATATATTAATAGATAAAGAATCACTTCTCTTAACAAATTACAAACTTAAACAAAAAAATTGATAGATAAAAATATGAAATGATAATAAAAATGAAGGAGAAATAATTAATGTTAAGGTAGCTTTTGCAAGCCAATATTATACTGGAATTTTGCATTTTTAACTGATGCAGTTCAATGCCTTTTGGAACTGTTTTTATTATTTGAAATTTATCGTCTGGTTTTTTTCAAATACTAGTTTTACATACCCACAGATCTAAAATAAGCATCCAGCAATAATCGTTGAAATGCTTAAACAATATCTAGTGGATACATTTATAATATTGTATATTTTACAGGTAACTGGAATAAATTGATCAACTACTTATACTACTACTTGTCATTACATTTGTATTACAATGGCACAAGAAAAAATCAACAAGTTACTTAAAGAAATCCTCAAGGAAGAAAACTATACGAATTTTGACCTGAAAGTCGAAGAAATCTCGACTGAAGGCGCAAATTACACTTCAAATTTATACAAGGTTGAAGTTATCCCTAAAGGAGATAAACCACACCTTCACCTTTTCGTGAAAGTGGCATGTCCCAGTGTGAAGCTACGGAGTACCTTGGACGAATGGAAAATTTACACAACAGAACAATTCTTTTACACAAAGTTGATGAAAATTTTTAACGAAATTGAAAAAGAAAACAATGTTCCAGACGGGCATAGACTAGTTTGCAGCAAGTATTATGGATGTAGTCTCGTACCTTTTGAAGAGATAATAGTCCTTGAAGACCTAACTGCAAGCAACTGGTTGGCTTACGATAGGTCCAAGCCTATAGACTGGCCATACGCGAAAGCAGCTATCACCGAACTTGCAAAATTCCACTCATTATCCTTCGCGTACAGCGAAAAGAACTCTACCGAATTCAGTAAAGTGTTAGAAGATTTAAAAACTCAAATGAATCCTGAAGCATTGGCCGCTTTCGTGAAGAGTTCCAAAGACATTGCATTGCAAAAGGTAAAGCCGGAACACAAAGAACTGTTGGAAAAATATTTGAAGGAATTTGAAGCAAAAATAAAGAAGGTCAACGAACCCGTCGGTCGTAACGTTATCACTCATGGGGTCTACAGACCGAGTAATTTGATGCACAAGGTCAGAGAGGTAAGTTTTTTCAAGATTTTTTTTTTACTTTAAAAAGAACTGTTCTGAAGAATCCCATACTACTGTTTATAAAGACAGGTCTTACAGGAAAGCTTTTTATAGGAATTTTGAAGGTGGAAGGAGAAAAAAATTCTTTAAATGTTGTGGGAAATAATATTTCTATTGCTTTCCCAATATTTAAGTCAATCTACATACAATATTAATATTGATTCTGCATGTTGTCATAAATTAGGAATTGGGGATATTATGCGATAATGGGGGTACTTAGAAAATCAGATATAGGAGTGTTTTGTCATTATTTTGTTTAAATTTGTGTTTTTAGAGATATTAATAGCAATTATGTTTAAATACGATATGTAGTTAGCTAGGAAACATATTTGTCGAAGTGTGGGTAGGACGATAGTCGTACATCTTTTTGTTCACTTTCATCACAATTGTTAAGATTTTGTGTGAATTTCATCTGAACGATACGACCGTTCAGTTGAACTTCACTCAAACCAGGCAATGTTATTTCAATTTCCAACAATGGACGACGAAAATAATACATTTCATTATGTCATTTTGTTTTTTTATTATCTTGATAAAGAGGGTACCTGTTATAGATATAAATATAATATCTCACACACGGCGGTCTGATCCCAAACTAGGCAGTGCCTGTACTATGGTAACCAGACTTCTGATAAACATACTTATATATTTCTAAGCACATGCATATTATAGATAAAGTACACCCAGACACAGAACATGTTATTTGTTTACTTTTCATGAGTTATCTACTTTCGAGTCTTGGTCTTTAAAATTTACCCATTTTCTGAATTTTATATGCTTTTATAATTATTTGTTAGTATTTAATTAACATTGATACATAGTTTCTGACAAGACTGCCTTGGTGGTGCAGTGGTAGAGTATGCGACTGCTGTGCTGAAGTCTCGGGTTTGATTCTCAGGTCCGACCAAAATTTTTATGATCTGCAAATATTTGTTTCGGAATGTAGGTGTTTTCTATGTAAAATATATACTATTCTATCAGTCAATCCAACTTTCATAGTACAAGCTCTGCTTAGTTTGAAACTAGATGGTGTTGTGTGTCAGAGGTCAACTTAATTTAGGCCGTGGGTTCGATTCCCACCCAGGACAAATAATTGTGTAATGAACAGAATCACTTGTTCTGTATGTGGGTGTAATTTGTCTATATTATTGCTTATGTATTTAGAAATATATAAGTATTGTAAAACAATTGTAAACTAGTACGTTTTAAATCAAATCAAAATGTAACGGGCGGGTGTGTAACGTGTGTGTAGTGGTTTGTGTAACGGACTGCTATTCTAAAGGTTCGATTCCCGCTCAAGTCAAGCATTTGTGTGCATGAACTTTTAATATTTGATTTGGTCTGGGTGTTTCTATGTATAATATGTATGCATTTACAATAAAAATAGTATGTATGTATTTATATCAGTTGTCTAGTACCCATAATACAAGTTCCGCTTAGTTCGGGACTACATTTGTGTAAATGTGGTAGAATATTAAAAAAAAACGCGTTACAATATTTTTCTACAATTGAAAGTAATTATATTAGTAATGTCTTAGCAATAATAAGAATCTTCAAGGCGGGTTTCAGAGCTCTTAAAATATGTGATACAGTTTTCGAAGCAGCGATCTTCCCGCGCACCGCAGTTTTTCAGTCCGTCAAGATGGCGTTGCAGACACAATGTTGCCAACAATATAAATAGTAAATTTTAAATAAAAACACTTAGTTCTAGGAGTATATTTATCAGCAGTCTGATTACTATAGCACAGGCTCTGCTTAGGGATCAGATGCCCGTATGTTAGATGTATCAGATTATTATTATTTGTGAATATGGGAATCCTATTTGTGTAATAATATGTATGTATGTCATCAGGAGATGACGTGACGGAGACCTTATAGACGATGAAGACGGAAGAAGTCGAGCAGCACTACTTTAATTTAATTCGTGTTTATTTATATCGTGTTTATTTAATTCGTGTTTATTTATATCGTGTTTATTTAATTCGTGTTTATTTAATTCGTGTTTATTTAATTCGTGTTTATTTAATTCGTGTTTATTTATATCGTGTTTATTTATATCGTGTTTATTTAATTCATGTTTGTTTATATCGTGTTTATTTAATTCGTGTTTGTTTATATCGTGTTTATTTATATCGTGTTTAAAATAATTATTTAATTGTTATTAATATTTACAATAACTTCAATTCCTAAATTGTTATTCTTAGAACAAATACACAAACGTATGTATTTATTAGTTTAGGTTTTTATTGCATAACAGCGCAATGCGATAAGGGCTCGAAAAATCCCCCCCACGTCTAAGTAATTTTAATGTACTTTCTCAAGCATTATTTATGGGTCAGGGTGTAATTTATCTGTTGTATTTGTTTACTTATTTATCAGCAGTTTAGTTAGAACATCAGACAGTCGGGTTTGGTCTTAAATTATTCTCTTTATATATGACGGGCCTGTTGATCTAGTGGTTAGTGGCCCTGACTGCTAAGCCGCAGGTCGTGGGTTCGATTCCCACACAGGACAAATATTGTTTGATGAGCACGGTCATTTGTTCTGTGTGTGGGTGTAATTTATCTATAATATGTATATATAAGTATGTTTATCAGCAGTCTGGTTACCATAGCACAGGCTCTGCCTAGTTTGAGATCAGGCGGTGTGAGATGTGTGAGGGTATTATTATTATTATTATTTTTATATAAATTTGTATGTTTAGCGCTCTTTGTACTACTTTTATTTATTACGAATATATTTCGCAATAAAAATACTCTGAATGAAAATTTGATTTATGACAATATTGCATAATTAATATTAATTTGGTTTTCAAGTTCCAAAACTCTAGTGACAGGTGATTCACGCACGACTGAGATTATGACCCAAAGACTACCACATATGATTTATATTCTATTATTTTTATTCTCGCAAAATTTATTAAAATAAATCTAATCATATAAATACAAAGAACTTTGGTGATAGCTCTAAATGTGTATTTTGCTATTATTTTGCTAAATGGCTGGAAGTATTTTTTTTAAATGTATCTTTTTAACAGTTATTAAAGGATTTTTATATTTACTATTCTTCATTTTTGTTATAGGAAAAGTTAAAGAGAGATTTGTATAATGTTGATCTTAAGACTCTGCTTACAACTAAAAGGGTGGGTATCTTTAGTAGCGATAATAATTATTTTTTTGACATCGTAGTTGATGCTTTGTGTTTTTATTTTCAGTTATGTTACACTCAACTTAAAAGTAAACAATAAAAAACGTTTTATAGTTAGTTAAACTTACAACTATTAACGATTATTATGATTTTGCTAGATAAATCTAAGTTGATAGTGTGTTTGCCGCTTTACCGCTTAAATTTAATTTAAAAAAAAAATCGGTAACAATACGAATCGAATACAACGTCGTCACATCTCTGTGGACTGTCAGTGGAGTTAATAGTTTAAATTGTTATCATTGTCCTGTTACGCGACAGTAACAAACGCAGTTTATATTTTCTTAGTGTTGTGAATCCAGAAAGTATTTTTTATATATATTAAAAGTGCGTGAAACATATAAATAATGACTGGAGTCGAAGAAATGCTGTATACTTTTCTTCCGAAAATCGCAGAAGAGCAAAAATATGTAGATTACAAGTTAAAAATTGAACCAATTTCGAGTGGCGGAGCGAACTACACTTCGACTTTGTACAATGTCACAATTGAAGAACGTAATAATACCCATCATATGTTTGTCAAAGTAGCAGCTATGGGAGAAAAAATAAGGTCGCAAACTCCAAACTTTTATCACACAGAAATTTTCGTATACACAAAACTAGCGAAGGTTTACAAAAACTTGGAAGAGGAACATCAAGTACCAGATAAATACAGGTTACATTTAACCAAATTCTACGGTTGCGATCCCACAGTTTATAAAGAGACTGTTGTTTTAGAGAATTTAGTTGTGAAAGGATATCAACCTTACGATAGATTAAAACCTATCGATTGGGAGTACGCTGCATCTGCCATTACAGAATTAACTAAATTACACGCACTATCATTTGCGTACAGCGAATATCATCCTGAGGAATATAAGAAAGTTGTAAATGATCACAAATTTGTATTAGAAATGGAAGCAGAGTTTGTATCTGGTTTCTTCGATGCATCCATCGCCAAAGCCATTGATTCAGTTGAAGAAAAATTCAAAGACAAGTTAAAGGTGTTTTTTGAGAGATTTGTGAAGAAGTTTCCGGATCTTTTTAAAGGAGTAAAACCAGTTTTGATACATGGAGATTACAGACCGAGTAATTTGATGCACAGGAATGCTAACGTAAGCTGTAAAGTTTGTTGGTTACTCTGGATAGTGATGAAATAAATAAGTTTGAAGGTGTGTGATATTTGTGTATAAAACTGTGGTGGACTTTGTGATGAGTTTGTGAGAAATTACAGTATAAGGAAATGAGAAACTCTATTAAAACTACAGCATATATGTAATAACACATGAAAAGAGCTGAGCTTTGACATTAATAGTGTCGACATGACTGCACGTATGGCGTTGTGGTTTAAGCGGTCACCTCGCCGCTTATTACTACGCTGAGTGTTGTGGGTCCGATCCCCACATGGGACAACACTTTGTGTGATCCACAAATTGTTGTACTGAGTCTAGGTGTTTTTTGTGTCCGTTTCATGTATGTTTGTGAAGTCCCCGCGATACAGGATATATTCCTAATACGGGAGTTGCCTCTAAAAAAAAATTACATCTACAAATTTATGAAATTAATACAACATCAAGCAAATCTATGTTGACCATTTTTTTATTCTGTTGTTAAATAAAGTAAAAACAATATATAGTAAGGTACTATGGCTTTTTGATTATAGTTTCCTTATAATAATAGTTTTGTTATAAAATTTAACTTGCGTCATCATAGCATTAGTTTCAAAGTTCTTTTTCCTATATAACTGTTCTTTTATCATTATGTGTGCACTTGAACTACGGTCGGTCCCTATCATTTAATGATTTCCTGTAATTTGCAAATTGATGATTGCTAAGCAAAACTTGAATAGTATTACGCGGTCTTTGTTTGATGCGTTGTATTAATTGCAAGCTGAAGTCTTAAAAATTTACGACACAGAAATCTTTGCTTACAGAAAAACAAAAAAATGTATTTCACTTTTTTAAAGTAATAAACTGCAAGCATGCTATTAAAGATTGCTTTTTTAATTGTATAAATGAGGTTTATTAGATATGATTTTTTTAAAGAGAAAAATCTAAGGTTTATGAACAATTACATACAGTCAAACATAATTCATTATACCGAACTACGAATGAATAAAATTGATACCAAACAAGTTTTATGCAAACTAGGCTTTTGGACTTTAAACTTCACTGGCATTTTAATTAGATAAAAATATGATAAAAATTGTTGTGTGCTAACAGAACACACGCCTATACAATTGCAAAAATTAAGATTGTCGATTTTCTCATCGGTTTAAAAGGAATTCGGTAAGAATTTATTAAAAATATTTCAATTTTCAGGAAACTGCAGTGGACGTTATGATCGTGGACCTCCAAACTCTGCAGGGTGCCAGCCCCGTGGTAGATTTATTATATTTCATCTTTACTGGATCTGATGAAGAGTTCCGCGCTGAGTACTACGATAAACTAATAGATCATTATTATACGGAGCTGGAAGCGGCCATGAAGAGACTTCACCTGGACCCTGAGAAGATTTACTCCAGAGCAGTTTTCGACAAGGAGTTGAAAGAGGTAACGTCAATAAACGTCACCTTCTCAAACTTGTTCATTTAGGAATATTGAGTCATGTTATGTCATGCTCATGCTCGCTGAGATTTAGAACAAGTTTTCTTGTAAAACTAGTATAAACTGCATACCTTCAATCTGTATAGAGTTAAGTAACTACAATCATTCTAACACATAAATAGTAAGTGTTAAAACATGGTTCAATGAAATATTTTTGTCTTTATCTTTTAAAAGCAGCAAAGAAACTGTGAAAGTCATGCAGACGCAAGTGCGGTTAAACGCAAACGCATCTTGTGTACTGAACCTAATATATGTAATATACTTAAATACAGCAATAAGTTCCAAAAAGATTCCTCTACAACTACATTTAATCATTTACATTTCATTTACACAGTTTTTTATGGCTACCATGTTTTACAAAAACACATAGTAATTTGTTCTACTCAAGGTCTCTAGAAGACATTTATAATAATTACAGTTTGTATCTGCCCACAGTATATTGCGCCTACACGCCAACACGCGATTTATCAGGAACTTTTGCATGGCCTTTTCAAGGTATAGAAAAGGGCCTTATTGGAAATGTTTATCCAGAAGAAGTACTGTTTGCGTAGGATACTTGCAATAAAGTTTCCCTGAATTCCAGAACTCAAGTTCCTTCTAGTTAATTTAATAATTCCGTGTGGTGACGGATTAAGAATACAAATTGTCACCACCCCAATTCATCCCGTGGGTGTCGTAAGAGCCGACTAAGGGAGCAAACTAAACAGGACAACAGCAATGCAAAGAGAAGGAAATCTTGAAACAAACCCTATACCAACCCGTCTGGCCAGCGTGGTATAGTAGGCCAAAACCTCCTTTCTAAGGAGAGCCCTATGTCCAGCAGTGGACTAGTATAGGCTGTTGATGATGATGTGAATTTAATAATAAATAATTTTGATTACAGAAACTGCCGTTCGGGCTAACGATATCGGTGTTCGCGTTACCAGTAGTGACTGTGTCTGCGGAGCACGCTCCCAAGGTCGACGCAGATATGGAACTGTCCGCGTTCTGCGCTGAGAAGGCCAGTGACTTGTACGTCGAACGGTTGAACGGAGTTGTCAACGACTTCATGAAATGGGGCTTGCTCAAGTGATCTGTAATTGCCAGTATTGAAAATGATACTATTGCCATGAAAAAGTACACAAGTGTCATTGAATATATTTTTATTATAATCTGTACATTAAACATGCTGTTATAACGAACAACATTTATACGACATTCCTAGGAATTTAGAAGCTTCAGTTCAAGATTAACTGATTTATTTAAGTAATAGTTTAAATATTGTTCGCTAGATGGAGCTAAGCACGTTTGTTGTAATTTTTATTTGTAATATTCATGATCATTTCCCACTACAATTTTATTGTGATAATTAACTATTATTCATGTAATAATTACCACCCAATATTTTATTATTGTAATGTGAAACTTGACTACTTTTTTTTTAATAAAAAAAGTAGGTACTTCATGAACATGTAGATGTCATTTTTAATATTGTTAATTGCATGGTTCTTTTATTAATTGTTAATTTAATATATTATAATATAGTTAAAGACTTTGTTTTACTTGGCTTCAATCGCTGTTTGTATTGGGGTTCATCAACAGCCTATACTAGTCCACTGCTGGACATAGGCCTCTCCTTAGAAAGGGGTTCAATTTACCTAAAGCCTTACAGAACTAAATCTGTCTTGTATAATCCTGATTGGTATGTTAGTCCTAATGGTTGGTGACCTACTACGCCAGAGGTCGTGGGTTTGACTCCCACCCAGGACAAATAAATGTGTGATGAGCACGATCATTTGTTCTGTGTCTAGCTGTAAAACATCTATAATTATATGTATGTATTTAGAATGTTTTGAAATTTGTGTGGTGCCGGATTAAGAATACAGAGTGTCACCCTATTCATCCCGTGGGTGTCGTAAAAGGCGACTAAGGGAGCAAACTACGCAGGACAACAGCACTGCAGAGAGAAGGAAAACTTGACACAAACCCTATACCAACCCGTCTGGCCAGCGTGGTATAGTAGGCCAAAGCCTCCTTTCTAAGGAGAGGCCTATGTCCAGCAGTGGACTAGTAAATGGCTGTTGATGATGATGATGATGATGATTTAGAATGTTTATCAGCAGTCTGGTTCATAGTACGGGCTCTGCCTGGTTTGGGATTAAACAGCCGTTTAGGAAATGTGGCAAATTAAGTCTAACCTGACCTCCCACTTGTGCGAGTTTTCAAGTTGTTTTTTTATAAAACTCATACAAAAGAACAGATCAGTGTGGGCACTGACAATCCTTAAGTATAAAGGGACCTAATTCGTAAATTAGAAACTGGCAATCTCTTAAAAAATATTCTCCATAAGCCAACTAATTGAGGAGTTTTCATCATCATCATTATCTTCCAACAGTCTCTAATAGTCAACTGCTGGAGCCTCTGTAAACCTCTTCTTAGAAAGGAAGTTTTGGCCTACTATACCACGCTGTCGAGACGGATTGGTATAAGGTTTGTTTCAAGTTTTTCTTCTTTTTGCAGTGCTGTTGTTTTGCGTAGTTTGCTCCCTTAGTCGCCTTTTACGGGTTGAATAGGGGTGTTGACACTCCGTTTTAACAATCCGGTTATCATTGAGGTACATCCTCAATTTGGCCATAACTAAGTAGTTATGGTTAACACCGAACCAACTTGGGTGTAAAGTCAAAGTGGTGCTTGTAAAATTATCGATGGCACTAATCTATACTAATAGTGTAAAACTGAGGAGATTGTTTGTTTGGTTGAACACGCTTACCTCAGGAACCATTAGTTCAAAATTGTTTTTTTTTCGTGTTTTAGCTAGGAAGGCTATAAGTATAAGATGATTATTTCATGCATCCGACACATTAAAAGTGACAAAAATATATCCTATGAAAGTTGTACACCTTCCGACCTTCCTCCGACTTTAGTACTTCTTTATTATCTTTTTTATTTTATTTAAATGGTACAGTTATAATTATCAAATAACTGTTTAAAATAATACAAAAACCAATTTGAAGAGCATTAGAGTTTACCATTATTATTATTAGGGTCGCGAATTTTATTCTAGAAGAACATAGACTAATTTTTTGTAAGTTTTAGTGCTGTTGTCCGTGTGGTCACGGATTAAGAATATGTAGTATCACCAAGTACCATATTGATTTACCTCAACATTTAATGTTGGATTTGGTCTGGGTGTTTCTATGTATAATATGTACGTATTTCCAAAAAAAAAGTATATTAGTATTATATCAGTTGTCTAGTAGCCATAGTGCAAGCTTTGCTTCGTTTGGAACTAGATGGCGTTGTGTGAATGTGGTAGAATATATTAGGTCTTTACCTATGAAATTGCCGTTTTGTATGCAATAAGTGAAAGTACTTATTTTTGCAAACTTTTTTATTTCTGTTATTCGAAGTGATCACCCATGCAATCGACGCATCTTTGCCAACGCATTGGCAGTTTATTGATGCCCTTCTTGTAAAAATCAGCTGGACGGGAGGCAACAAACTCTTCAAAGGCATTTTGTACTGCCTCTCGGGAATCCCCACATGGGACAACACTTTGTGTGATTCACAAATTGGTGTTCTGAGTCTAGGTGTCCCCTGGGACACAGTCCCTTTGCGGGAATTGTCTTTTGAAAAACAAAAAAATTACAAATTGTGTGGAAGAAATAAAATGGCGACATCTGTTGACAGTCAAAATACCTAATAATGGACGTTATGTGAATACATACATACATCCATAGCGGCAAGAAGAACCAACTCATATGGTTAGAAAGTTGAAAAAGTGTCCAGCTGTATACTGAAAATAGAGGTCGCTGGCGTACGAAAAACTACAATCTGAACATAGCTGTTGTAGGCGGAGTGAAGTGTGCTGAGTTTGAATATAATAATACTTTTATCGTCTGAAAGTTATTACACGTTTATTTATTGTCTGTAAAACCCATTGACTATTTGCGCAGTCTAGTACACAGTGTCTAGTTATTATTTAAGGCAATATAGATTTATCCTAGGCTGTTTTTACTTTTCATACACAGAGATGGTTCTCATTACGTCTACTCTCCATAATCCATAGATACAAAGAGGTAGACAATGATGTGTTATACACTATGTTCTAAAGACCTACAATTCAATCTAATATTGTTTTAATATCTGAATCATTTTCGCAGAAGATCTCACTAAATTATTTCTCAAACTCAATTTTTATTTGACATGCCTTAGTTTCAGATCTAAGCCAGTTTAAAAAGATTTAGTTTTCTTTTTTATCAATTGCAATGTAGTGGTTCGATCCTCGTGCACTTAAGACGTGAACTTCCTCCTAACACAGGCATAATTATTACAGAGCAATAGGGATTAAAAAGAACACTAGTAGTATTTTTTCCACATTATATTTATTTTTAAAAACTGAGTCACTGGTGCAAACTCCCTTTTCCCCTCGGAAATCCCCTCGGATACCACCGGTTACATGTCGGACTCGAACCATATTCACCTTACAAAAAAAGTTAATAAGAATTCTAGTTAATATACAAGAAACAGATACTTGTAAACCTCATTTCCAGATATTAGGCGTCCTAACAGTACCCAGTATATACATATTAGAAATAAGTAAATTTGTACGAAAATACCCGGCACTGTATAGTAAACGGGAAGACAAAGAAACAAACTTTTCCTTTAGACACAAAAACAGATTAAGTCTACCCCCTTCTAGACTAATAATGCATTCTCGTGGTCTTTGGTCATGTCTATAAAAATTTATAATAAATTACCAATTGATATTAAAAACGAGACTAAATTTGATACTTTTGTTAATAAATTAAAGTTATTTCTAATAAGCAAGTGTTTCTACAGCGTAAAAGAGTACTTGGAAAGTAAATAAAATACTCTAAAATAACAAATTCTATAATTGTTATAACCAGATTAGACAAAATAAAAAAATTTGGATGAAATAATAGTGTCCTCTTTTCTTCCATTTTCTCATAATATAATATATTTATGACTACTAAAATGATAATAATTAATCAATCAAATAATTAAAATAACAACTAATAAATAATTAAAATAATAAATAACGGACAATATTTTATTCTTTTATACATTATTAAATCAATTTTTAAAATTATGAACAAATAAAACTAACAATATTGATTATAATTAAAAATATAATAATTCATGACATGTATAGTTACCATGATTGTATCCTACTATATTAATTAGAAACAAAATATTCTACTGTACATGTGGTTGTGTTATCTTCCTCTCTCCCAAACAAACTGTGCCGCGCCCGACAGGGTCCATAATTGTTGCTGCTTGATTGTTGTCACCTATGTATTCACATTATGGAAGCAATAAAGTTATTGAGTATTGAGTATTGAACCGACTAAAACCGCACGCCGTCTCGGGTACTCATAGCCGGGGAACCAGGTACACCCTAGAAAGGAAGTCAAGGTGCAAACTCCCTCAAACCGCTCGAAACGTCAGACTATTCGAAGGTATGCACATATTATGAGTATATATGCCAGTTACGTGTTAAAAAATATTTTGTCCAGGTATTGGGTACTTACAAAATTATTAAATGTACATAATAAAAAAAAAATGAAATTTTGGACATAATTATGACACTCCGCCACTGTGCGGTTTTCAAGACACTTTTTTCCTCGCACAATCGACCTGTAGAACAAGTTTCTGCGGTATTTCCGGACCGATAGGACCTTCAAATCTTCAAGAAAAGAGCGTAGTCCTTCTTCAAAGGCCGTCAACGCGACTCCTGAGTTGGAGGCGATCATGGGCGGTTACGCGTGTGCTCGTCTGCCCCCTCGTACATAAAAAAAAGAAAATATTATGTTTTTTTTTAAAGATCTCCATAATCGATAGTTGTGCCTTGCTCAACTACTGAATGGATTCAAATGAAACTTGAACACTGGATACTTTTACTATACTATAATATTTTACCCAAGTTGCAGGCGTTCGAGGATGGGGTAGTTGCTTTCCATCAGGTGACCTGCCTACTCGTTTGCCTCGCTATTCGCATAAACGGGGCGATTATATTTTCTAATATTTTGAAGCTTGTATCATCAAATTTAATCGTCATTGCATACAGGTAGAATAAACATGTCGAAGTACCGACGGAGCGTACAAAAATAAAAATTCGTGGCCAAATGCGGGTAGTTACCAAAACTCACTGGTTACAGATGTGTTGGCTAAGGCCAAGCTTTCATCAGTCCACAAGTCCCGGTGCCATCCGATCGAAGCCTCGCGTCCGCCGCGTGGGTTAATTTAAAAAGGTACGACTACTACTTTTTTATTTTAAAGAGTTATTGAGTTTACTACCAGTTATATGTATCTAATAGTTTTACTATAATAAAATGTATAATAGAAAAAATTACGTTAATTTTTATAGTTCTTTTCTTTTTTATGATGTAGAGGGTATCGGTAACTACTGCGGAAAGTGAACGGTTTTCATAGTAAATAATATTTTAAAATACACGTTTAAAAATAAACAAACACACTTTTGTACACTGTAAAGTGTGTGTGTGTTTGTTTTGTAAAAAGTGTAATATAATATTCTAAAAATTAAAAAAGAAGTCGTTAAGAATATTGGTAAAAATAAAGTTTATTACATTACAAATGTCTTTAAAATTAACGGTTTTTTCCCAGTGACTGACTGATAAGCCAGAGGTTGTGGGTTCGATTCCCACAAAGGTCAAATATTGTGTGATGGGCTCGATCATTTGCTATCTGCGTGTAATTTATTTATTTATGTATGTATTTAGAAATATATTAGTATGTTTATTAGCAGTCTGGTTACCATAGTACAGGTTCTGTCTAGTTTGAGATCAAACGGCCGTGTGCCAGAGATTGCACAGATGTCTTTTTAATAATTTCATTTTTTTTAATTTTATCTAAGTAATTTTTTATTTATTGGTTGACGGTTTCCGCCTACCTTCAACAAAAAATTAAAAATTTGTTTGTAAATCTTTTAATTTATTTTTGTTAACTGTACTTGCCCAAGACTAGTTGTTTTCTTTTTAGTGATCCCAATATACTACAATTTTCTCGAAAAGGGAATTTGGGACCACGGTCCTGGTCCCGAAAGCCCCACAAGCCGATTTTTTCCACCTTCAGCAGTGATTACAATGTAATTATTCATCATCATCATAATCATCAGCCTTGAATAGTCCACTGCTGGACATAGGCCTCTCCTTAGAAAGGAGGTTTTGGCCTACTATAAAACGCTGGCCAGACGGGTTGGTATAGGGTTTGTGTCAAGTTTTCCTTCTCTTTGCAGTGCTGTTGTCCTGCGTAGTTTGCTCCCTTAGTCGTCTCTTAGGACACCTACGGGATGAACAGGGGTGGTGACACTCTGTATTCTTAATCCGTCACCACACGGATCATTATTATTATTATTAAAAATATATAATCCAGAGTGGATCAGTTTTTTTAAATGTCATTATGTGTGAAGAGATAATATTTGGTTTTTTGGTTACCGTTTTTTTTCCTACCTTCAACAGAAATTTTTGTAATCGATCTGGACTTAAACACAAACGGCTTAAACGTTTTAGAACCATTTTCTACTTTTTTTTTTGTTTTTATTTTATAAAAGACAACTCCCGCACTACGCGGGGACTTTACAAACAGACATGAAACGGACACAAAGACCACCCAGACTCAGAACAACAGTTTGTGGATCACACGAAGTGTCGTCCCATGTGGTGATCGGACCCACAACACTCGGCGTAGTAGGCGGCGTGGAGACCGCTTAAACCACTACGCTATCCGTCCGTCAGTTTTCTACTAGGTTTCAATCGACTTTCTTTGGTTTTCGTTTATTAGCTATTGAAAGATCAATAAAATAGAATAGTTATGAATGAAGAAACTATTAATTTCCTTAAGAATGTAGGTAATACTACATATGTTTCGCCAAGCATGTTTTAAGCTGGTTGCGAGAGGTCGAAAATCGATCTAAGTGGCATGCAATGGGAGAGGCCTATGTCCAGCAGGGGACTGCGTGTGTGTGTGTGTGTGTGTGTGTGTGTGCGTGTGTGTGTGTGTGTGTGTGTGTGGGCATCGAACCGATTATGATTTTGTTTATTTTTGTTTGAAAGGTGAATTAGTCAGAAGTGTTCTTAGCTGTTTGATGAAAATCGGTCCAAGATGACCGCCGCCACAAAATGACGGATTACATATTTATTCACAACTCCCTCAATATGGGTATCAAATGAAAGAACTTGGCTAGTAGAATAATTTAATTAGGCTGGGGTTTAAAATTTTCTTTGATATTATTTAAAATTTATTTATGTTTTAAACGCCGACTTTTAAATGTATATTACAACATATCTATACATATAGTTGTAATCCTTATTACTCATTCCAAACATATAAAATTACCTGCACTAACTGGGTGCCTGATTCATCAACACAGACCCTAAACCGCTGACGCTACAAACTTGAACTTTTGACAGCTAATGCTTTTGTTTAGTCCGTGTGGTGACGGATTAAGTATTCTTAATCCGTCATCACCCCTATTCATCCCGTGGGTGTCGTAAGAGGCGACTAAGGGAGCAAACTACTTTGTACAATAGCACTGTACTTGACATACCAACCCGTCTGGCCAGCGTGTAAGGAAGTTCGTGATTTTCAAAGTTAGAAACACGCTATAAAAAATGGCTGTGGAAATTAATAATAGGCTGCTTTCACGTATGATGAACTGGAATAGTTGGTGAAGATATATCTCACACACACATACTTATAATCACAGGCATACGCAGTCACTAGTCACATACATATGTGTATAAATACACACATATACACGCACATGCATATACACACACATGCAAATACACACACACACACACACACACACACACACACACAACCACACACCCACACATACACACACACACACGCCCACACATACACACACACTTACTCTTTTTCTTTTTGTATTGTATAACTTAAAATAGTCACTAATTTACCTTTTATTACTCTGGAACGCTGATGTCAGTTTATAACTAATGTGGTTATTTTCGAACACAAGCAAATTTATATACCTACTGTTTCTCGTTCTTATTTCTCTATTATTATTTAAAAAAAATGGAAGTCATGGCCAATGGAAAAAAAATCATATCTTTACATGATATTTATTTTTACAGGTAGCTGAAATAGTTTATCAAACCACATTATGTCGAAAGAAAAAATCAACAAGGTGCTTAAAGATTGTATGAAAGCTTTAAATTATATAAAATACGATTTGAAAGTCCATGAAGTTTCGACTCAAGGCGCGAATTATACTTCAAATTTGTACAAAGTCGAACTCGTCCCCGAAAATGGTATAGAAACCCTGAAGCTTTTCGTGAAAATGGCATGTCCGAGTGTAAAGATGCGAAGTACTTTGGATGAGTGGAAAATATACGCCACAGAAAGACTCTTTTACACAAAATTGGTCGATACCTATAGAGATTTAGAAGATGAAAGTTATTTAGATTTGCAACATAGACTAGACTTCTGCAAGTTCTATGCGTGTCAGTCGGTACCTCATGAAGAGATGTTGATCCTTGAAGACCTAACCGCCAACAACTGGATGGTTTACCACAGATTCCAGCCTATGAGTTGGCCTTATGCTAAATCTGCCATCTCGGTACTCGCTAAGTTCCACGCATTATCATTCGCTTTCAGCACAAAGAGATCAGATGAGTTTAAGAAAGTTTTAGAAACTCTGAAAACAGAAATGAATATTAAATCCTTGGCCGGTTATGTGAAGAATGCCAAGGATCTTGCATTGCAAAACGTAAAGCCAGAACACAAGGTACTTTTGGAAAAGTATTTAAACGATTTTGAGACCAAGATAAAGAAGGTCAACGAACCCATCGGCCCTTATGTTATTACCCATGGGGTCTTCAGACCGAGTAATTTGATGCACAAGGTTAGACAGGTAAGTTTCTTTAATAATATTTAGTATCGTATTTTCACTTGTAAAATAAACATACCTGTGGCTTTTTTCAAGGTATAACGATTTTTCTAAAAGAAAATAATACCTAGAAGTATTTTTCTCTGAAAGTTGTAGGGTAGCCAAAGAAAAACTGTCCTAGAGCTGAATTTATTAGAGCCAATTCAATTTTATTCAGATTAAGAGGAACATGCATTTAAATAATTAATTAACGCATAAATTTTTCAAAACTGTAGTTAATCTACAAACAGTAATATAAGTTTTTTTTCTATGTTCTCTTTTCAAAATATTACTAGAGATAAAGAAATAAGCGTAACCGCCGCCGCAGCTCATCAAATAACTTATTTTAATGGAAGCCGCAACTATAAAACAAAAAAGATTTTGTCTGAAAATAACTCTTTGGATTATTGACAATTCACCCTTTCAATATTAAAAAAAAAACAAATGCCAATCATTATCATAGACATTGAAACTTCTATTTTTTTTTTGTGAGAATTGGTTACGATTTTAATCCATTTTATCCCTATTTTCAGGATGGTACAGTGGATGTCAGGATCGTGGACCTCCAAACTTTGCAGGGTGCTAGTCCCGTGGTTGATTTGCTATATTTCGTCTTCACTTCAACTGACGAAGATTTCCGCGAACATTATTTCCAGAAGCTAATAGATCTTTATTATAACGAGTTGCAAGAGGCAATGAGAAGGTTCAACTTGGAGCCTGATTACCTGTATTCCAAAGCAACATTCGATTCTGAAATTAAACAGGTAACGGAAAAAGAGATACTCTTTATGATACACATTAAAATTATTGTACTGTATTGTATATTAACAAACAATACAGCAGTCTGCGATTACTTATAAACTACCTGAAGGCCTTTCTCGTAATAAAAGTTTGATCTCAATTCACATCCGATAAATTTTCGATCTCACAACAAATAGTAAAGTATTACTAAGACTAGCCTGTAAGGCTATAAGGCGGGCACGGTCAGTGAATACTTTTAAGAGACTCGTCAAAGATCACTATCTCTGAAAAAAACTATGTGTTATATATGTAGGTATGTAATGTATGTATGTATATGTGTATGAATATGTATTTATGTAAACCTATATTATGCGCACCACAGACTACATATTACTAAACAGTATAGTCCATCTAAAGGTTGCCTGGAAGAGATCGCAGACTGCGATAAGGCCGCCTATTGTACCACTGCTTTTTTTTTGTTTATACTGCATGGTATGTTTTTTATCCATGGTATGTAATAAAGAGTACCTATCTATCTATTGACGGGCCTGTTGGTCTAGTGGTGAGTGACCCTGACTGCTAAACCGGAGGTCGTGGGTTCGATTCCCACTCAGGACAAATATTGTGTGATGAGCACGGTCATTTGTTCTGTGTCTGGGTGTAATTTATCTATAATATGTATGTATTTAGAAATATATAAGTATGTTTATCAGCGGTCTGGTTACCATAGTACAGACTCTGCCTAGTTTGGGATCAGACAGCCGTGTGTGAGTGTGTGGGATATATTATTATTATTATTAAGCTATTGCATAGCATAAATGCATGCATAAATTCCGTAACGAAAAAAAACATCACGCTAAAAACAAAACAAAAAACAGTACCAAAATCAAATGCTGAACGTCAAAGGAAATTTCGTCAACATAATGCAGAAAAATCTTACATGGATATGTAATTTGATTTAATAATAATATTTTTTATTTATTTATTTAAAAACAAATTGTAATACATATATGCTTCAATATTTTTATTTAATAAAAGAAAAACAATTGTTTTCTTTACGGTCACCACGCTCAAAAAGTGTAACTTGAATTAATATCAAAGAAAAAGAAATACTGCTTAAATAAAATAAATAAATAATTATAATTGCATAAGTTGATACAAAATGCTATGCAATAGCTTTACCGCGGCAGTCCCCGAGTGCCACACGTCTTTTTATCTATCTTTGACCGATTCAATTTTCAGTTACAATACGATATAATCGCATTACAGTTAACGTTGGATGTTTAATACTTTACTACGACAATACCTTTTATGACAGTAGTGAGATCGAAAGTGGATCGGAACTGAATTGACATCGAACTTTTATTACGAGAATTTGCCTTCAGGATATTACAGTATTATAAAGTATTAGGGGAGAGTAACCAATATTGAACCGGAGCTTAAATTGGGCCACTTCTGGGTTTCTACCAAAATGGCACTATTTTTTTACACTAGCAATAAAAAAAGGAGTAATTACACTATTTTTTTTTTAATTCTAACAATTTTTTTCGGAGAGTTTGCTTAATTTATTAAAAATTGCATTATATTTGCCGAAGATAGGGGACTTTTTTTACTTGTACCTGTTTGTTGCCCTTTTTTTTTCCGTGCGGAAATCCCCTCGGATACCACCTATCGGTGGCTATCGGACTCGCCGCCGCCGCCGCTCGGGTACTAATAGCCGGGGAACCAGGTATTCCTAAGAAAGGAAGTCCCTGGTGCCCTCTGTTTGTTGCCCTCATAAAATAAAAAATAAAATGAAATATACGATAAGGACGAATAGATATCCGTGTGGTGACTGAATAAGAATACGAAGTGTCACCATTCCTATTCATCCCTTGGGTGTCGTAAGAGCTGACTAAGGGAGGAACAAACTACACAGGACAACTGCAAAGAGAAGGAAGACTTGAAACAAACCCTATACTTACCTGTCTGGTCAGCTTGGTATAAGTAGGCCAAAACCTTCTTTCTAAGGAGACTATTAAAGACTATTGATGATGATGTGATGACACTGTGTTCTTAATTCTTAATTGATAAAATTTACGTTGACGCCTTCGTTTGTGTTACTGTTTAAAAGAAGAATACAAAAGCTAATAATATATAATATAATTACAGAAACTGCCGTACGGGCTGACAATTGCAGTGTTCGCGCTCCCAGTTGCGACGGTGTCTGTGCAAAACGCTCCGAAGGTGGACGAAAACATGGAACTGTCCGCCTTTTTTGCAGGGAAGGCCAGTGATTTATATGTCAAACGGCTGAACGGTATCGTCGACGACTTCGTGAAATGGGGCTTGCTCAAATAATCTATTATTAATCATTATAAAAATAATACTATGCGTAAAAAAGTACACAAAGCTTATAAAATATATTTTTTTGTTAGTATTAAGTTTATTTAGTTTGAAATCAGTTGTTTATATCACTCGTACAATTGATTGGTTTTTAATGATAGCACTGTAATATATTTTTACTATGTTATTTGTTTAGATATATTTATTTGATTGTATAGTGTGTTATTCATGAAGACATGGAAAACGCACACCATTTTATTTATTGTGCGATGTTCTAGATTTAATATTTGTTATAAATAATTTCATTACAAAAAAAGGTCGTAATTTCTTTTTGTAGTTTCATTTTAAATTGGTATTTCTATTGGAATCTGATTCACCTTTGACAATCCTCGTCATGCTTGAATGAGTAACCTCATTCTGTCTGTGCCTGTGCTATCATATGACTTAGAATAATCATGACCTAACCCCAAGGGGTAAGTGTGTTTATCATATGGTTATTTCCTTGCGTTGCATGTTGTGGAAGTGGGCGCGAAGGATATACTATCTACATCCCATTATAATCTGCTTGAAGACCTTGGATTGCCAAGAGCTTCAGTAAGCTCTTTTCTTGAACTATTATCCAAAGCAGTATTGCTAGGCTCAAGGTTAAGTAGAGGGAGTAACACGGTAGGCAGTGTAGGTGAGCGCTGACGCGTTGCAAGGAGTACTCCCTAAACCTACTCCTGGGACGCAATTCCCAGGCGCTATCAAAGTTGGGCACGCCGTCATTGCGGCGGTAAGACCCGTTATGGAGGATTGGCTCGAGAGGCGTCACGGGACCCTCTCATACCGATTGACGCAGGTGATCACTGGGAAGGGATGTTTCGGAGATCACCTGTGTCTGATCCGCAAGGAGCCAACGCCTGAGTGCCACCACTGCGATGGCCAGACCGTGGACACGACTCTCCACACGCTGGCAGAGTGCCCGGCGTGGGTTGAGCAGAGGCGAGACCTCGTGGCGGCCATCGGAGTGGGAGTTCTCTCGCTCGATAGCCTGATTGCGGCTATCGTGCGGAGCGAGAGTGCGTGGAACTCTGCCGTCTCCTTCTGCGAGCAAGTTATGCTCGCGAAGGAGACGGCGGAGCGGGACCGGGAGAGGCTTAGAACTCTCCCGGCCCGCCAGGCCCGGGCACGGGCCAGGCAGCGCAGGCGACTCAGGCGCCGGAGGTCGCAGAACGACCTCCGTCCTCCATAAGCGCAGGCCTGGGGGTGACAGGTGAGGCCATCTGTCACCCTAGCAGAAGCATGCCGGGGTGGCGGCGAGCGCGTTGCGAAGCGCGCTCGCTTCCAGGGAGCACAGGGAACATGGGGTTCCCACACGGGGCGGGGGTCGTCTACTCGTCTGTAGATGACCCGAGGTATGTCGGGGCACCAGGGCCTTCCTTTCTAGGGTATACCTGGTTCCCCGGCTATTAGTACCCGGCGAAGGCGTGCGGTTTTAGTCGGTTCGAGTCCGACATGCCACCGACAGGTGGCATCCGAGGGAGTTTCCGCACGGAAAAAAAAAAAAAAAAAAAAAAGGCGCTATCGAAGTCGCATTTGTTGCCCCCATCTATCACGCGTTGGACTCGGCACCCGCACTGTGAATCCATGGAACAATAAGAAAAGGTCTAAATTGTACCTGTACTTAAATAAAGTACCTCTTATTAAATGAAAATATAACAAAATCAATACACTCCCGCCATTTTCATTCAATGGCGGATGTATCTAATGTATTAATTCATAGTATAAATAGGGATTAAATATTTAGTCCGTGTGGTGACGGACTAAGAATACGGAGTGTCACCAGCCCTATTCATCCCCTGCGTGTCGTAAAAGCCGACTAAGGGGACAAACTACGCAGGACAACAGCGGCAAAGAGAAGGGAAACTTGACACAAACCCTATACCAACCCGTCTGGCCAGCGTGGTATAGTAGGCCAAAACCTCCTTTCTAAGGAGAGGCCTATTTCCAGCAGTGGATTATTCAAGGCTATTGATGAAAATTTAACTTTTTTTGTACTCTACTATATAAAAGCAATCACATACTCAATGTTAATTGGTTTTCTAAAATAAAACTACTAATGCTTCCGTGCCTACTTGTCTTTTTAATTATTGAATCATTTAGGTACACTTTTATATTTGAATAATCTGCAAGAAGTAATATTTGTGAAATTAAAAAGGGCATGGCAATATTTTATAGGATTCTGGATAGAGGACTTAGGCCGGGACTCCACCGAAGCAGAGATGTGTGCTGGCTAGCCTTGCGAGTGTGCGAGGCATTGAGTGCTCAGGTACGCATTCTGACACGAAAGGTAGCGAGATTGCCGGCCGGCATGAGCGGGACTTTGCGGGTTGCTGGTGGGCGGGAGGGGGTTAGGGTGACATCGGTGATCGATGTCACCCTAACCCCCTCCCGCCCACGCCGCTCACATCTCTCGTCGCCGCCGTGCATCGTCCGCGCACAGCTCACATCTCCGCTTCCATCGCGCCATACAAATATTACATATCTCCGCACAGCGATCTCCACTGAAGCTTAGCGGAGAGGAGATGTCTCAATAACGCAATTCTATTGGTTGTTTAAAAAACATCTCCTCTCCGCTCGTCTCGTCTCCGCTTTGGTGGAGTCCCGGCCTTAAGGTGCAGTGACATACAAAAAGGCAAGTAGGCACGGTTACGTTTGTAGTTTAATTTCACAGAAACCAATCAACATACTGAGTGTCTGATTGTATTTACATAGAGTACAAAATAGGTACAAATTATTGGTATTAATATATTTAATCCCCATGTATACTATGAATTATTATTTTAGATAAATCCGCCATTGAATGAGAACAATTTAAAATAATATTTTGCTGACTCTGTCGACAATTCTCCGTAGAGCTTGCGTTTTTTCTTTTGATTAATTTCGTTGGGGGCTCCAAGACAATTTTTTCTTTCAAGTTTTCGACTGTCGTAACTCGGTGTGTTCGTTTGTCACAGGTGTAAAGGTGTTACAATAGTAGGCGTCTGGGAAGAATTAGTCCTATATAAAAAAAAATAGAACCGACTCCAAACAAAACTTGTACCATAACAGGAAAATGATAAACCTGTCATTCGCTGTATGCCAGTGACACGATCAGTTTCACCGATAAGGTTGATAAATATTATCTCCGAGTTAAATCTTTTTTGTAGCTATATTTAAAAATACATTATTATATACAACAGGTGCGTCATCCTGACTAAGATAATTCAGATTTGTTAATGATACTATAAAACAGGTGAACATTATTGTGTGGACAAATATGATAAATCACATAAAAGGCGTTATCACCATGACATTTAACAAATGATATCTATAGCTGTTATAGGCATTATGATTTAATATTGGTAGCATTATCTCTGTCCCGAATTAAAGTATCATCATCATTAACAGCCTATAATAGTCCACTGCTGGACATAGGATTACGGAAAACAATCCTCCCCCTGTCCCTTTTATTTGGACGGAGGCAGTCACAGGCCGAAAACGCAGTTGTGATCAAGGGCGGCGTCAGTTACTTACTGTCACGCGAAACCATAAAATAACTATGTAACTGTCAACGCCAGAGTTTGTAATTACTGTACATCATAATCATCAACAGCCTCTAATAGTCCACTGCTGGACATAGGCCTCTCCTTAGAAAGGAGGGTTTGGCCTACTATACCGCGCTGGCCAGACGGGTTGGTATAGGGATTGTGTCAAGTTTTCCTTCTCTTTGCAGTGCTGTTGTCCTGCGTAGTTTGCTCCCTTAGTCGGCTCCGGTGGTGACATTCCGTATTCTTAATCCGTCACCACACGTAGTAAAGTATCAATTATTAAAGTTATTAAGCTATTGCATAGCTTCTATCGCGGACCTTGAGCGTGGAGACCGAATCCAGAAATTCCGTAACGAAAATAACCTAATAACCCGACCGGCACAGCGGTGATACTTTTTAGTTTTGCCATCTATCTATGAATAGCAGAACTTTTAATGACTTTTTTGAAATATCACGCTTGTCTCTTTAGTTCAGCAACTTGCCTCCAGGTGGCACCTACATGTATTGTAAGATAATAAGAATATTTTGAATAATATTAACTTCTCATTTATTTAATAAAAGAAAAAAAATGTTTTTCTTATCGGTCACCACGCTCAAAAAGTGTAACTTGAATTATTATATTATTATAATATTTATATTATATTATTATTATTATATTGAATTATATCAAAGAAAAAGAAACAAAGGAAAAAAAATACTGCATAAATAAAATAAATAAATAATTATAATTGCATAAGTTGATAAAAAATGCTATGCAATAACTTTACCGTGGCAGTCCCCGAGTGCCACACGTCTTTTTATATTATACTATAATTATTATTAATATATCAATTCATCTATATCTATGTATTTATATCTTCAAGATATTAATACATGAATAGCTATTTTGAAAATTATTTTCATTACCAATTGATGGATTGGATTTTTAATCTTTGCTGTGTGATGTTTATTAGAATAGGATATGATTGGAGACAGTTCGCAATTTCTATGTGCTACAGCGAAGCATGGCAGGGCACAACTACTCGAACTCCTTATTTCTAGATTTATTACCAGCTCCTCATCCATACTAACATTACAAATGCGAAAGTGTGTAAAAGTGCACACATTTATTTAGAACATTATTAAACCGATTATGGAACCGAACAGTTGTCTATAATTTACCTACGTCACATGGCGACCCTTAGCCAGCAGTTTTTTATTCATTTAAATTTTTATTGAAATTTTAAAATTATGAAGAAAGAAGGCGTATAGTTATTTAGAAGACTAGAAGATTATTGAAGAATGTAAATTGAGGAACGTTAGAAGAATGAAAATGTTGAAGAGAAATTGATTTTGAAGAAAGACGATGAAGATTACTCATAGAAGATTTTAGAGAAGACAAAAGTCAAAAGACTCTTACAGAAGAATACCATGAAAGAAGATCAAAAATAAATCTGATTCGAT